TAATGGTTTCTTACTGTAAGAAGTGCAGTGATTTCTTGCATCTCTGGTAGGGGTAATTATGGTACATTTATAAGATTTAGACACTTCCCTAAATTAATGTTTATCACATCACATTTCTAAATTTTATCTTATGCAAGTAAAAAGAAAATCCTTTTTACCACTTTGCACGTTATACATAGGCAATTCTCTCCATTTAATCCTGTCTATTACACTCACAAGCTGGGCTAATCAAGCAACAGCATGGTACCTAATTTTGCACTTCACATGGACAGTTATCCTTTCTTGGCAATGAATTACACTGTTGAAGACAGAATTATTCTCTTATTCCAAAACATTATAAACTGGAAATATTTGAGTTGGATGAAATATTTTTGACTCATTTAGCAAGCAGTTTTCCCCTACTGTTTTGGATCTCCTGCAGCCCCTTAAGACAAGACAGAGATATTTCGATATGCACTGTCATCTAATGGAACTGGTCACAATTCGCACCTTGTTTCCAACAGATAACATGAAAATAAAGTCACTGGGCGAACCAAGCATGTGTGTGTGTGGGGGGTGTGTGTGTGTGTATCCATCCGCATGTGTGTTTTTTAGTAACTCACTGAAATCCTATTACAGCAACACGTAGGACATTGAAAGTTCTAAGAACAGTTGGTCTTAAGTGTAAGGCTGAAAAATTTCATTAGAAGAAAGAATATTAGAAAAAGAGAAGTAGAGATTTTTATATTTTTAGCTAACAGACACCTAGTTGCTTATACTTCTTCTAAGGACTTACGGCTGCCTTTTGTAAGTGCTAGCTAAAATTTCCCATTTAAAAACTTCTCACACGCAACTTCTACAGAAGTCCCATTTGATCATGCAACAAAGCCACAAAAAGAGGTAGATGATATCATGATTCTTTACTTGGCATTCAATTATGCTAGTGAAGACAGAATTATACCCTCACTCCGTAAGTTACCAGAAATTGTAAAGAAGTAAAATCTTATATAAATCTTTAAGAAATAAGTGAGTAAAAGGAGAAAAAGTAATAATCCATGCTACGACTTGTTTAAACCATTTCTTCATGTTTGACTTCTCTTTCATTTAATGTCCTGTAGAAACATCTAAATCTTCTTCATTCAGAAAACTAAAATGATCAGAAGTGCTAGTTTTCTATAAATTGCATGTGTGTCATATGAGCTTGGAAATATATTACAACTTTGGTTAAGGATGGTGAAATGCTACAGTTAGTGTTATTATAAGAAAGAAATGAAGAACAGAAAAATTAATTGGTTAGTGGCTAAAATATTCTGATGAATTTTTAATTGAGTGGGGTTTTTTCCCATTACATGTCAAATTTGTAATCGATTAAGATATTCTGTGCTACTTAAAAAGGGCACTTATTAAATATCCAACTTCATAAAAAGCACTGAAAATCCTTCTCCCCAAATATTTCCAGCTTGATAGGAGCAGGCAAGAAGCATTAAGAAATGTAAACACACAAGAAAACTGCAAAGCCCACCTGATGATCCAAATATATGGCATTCCTTTGAAGGTGATGTGAAAGAACCTCATTCTAGCAGGCAGCAGTCAGGGAGAAAGGAAAGGGACAGAAGGTGTAGAATGCATGAAAAGAGCTTTAAAAGACATAGAAATACAATGCTGCTTTTATCTGCTTTTGGTTTTTGTGATCTTTTAACAAGTTTTGATCCCGAAACAGAAATGATGAAAGTTTGCCATGAATCAAGACTATGAACTACTACAGTACATTTTGGTTTGACATAAGAAATACAATAAGCTTATGTAAATGTCTACTACACAGACAGCTATAAACCCTTTGATAAACCTGTGTTTTAAACATGTCCTGATTTTCATACACAGATTACAAATAAGATTGTATCTGATATGAAGCAGTATGAACAATAAATCAATTTCATGTTCTATTCCTACTAATTTTGTTTATAACACCAACAGGTTAAAAAACTTTAAGCTTAACTACAATATATTTTTAAATATTCGTCTGTAATTTTGACTCAGCTAATTTAAAAAAAGCCATGAGTCAAACCTCAAAGGGTTAATAGCAGCACATCATGTACACAAATCATCAATGTTACTCTATTTTACTCCCACAGTAGTCAGAAAATTTTGCACTAATGGTACAATGCAAACTTTGGTTAATGAATGACTACAGGTTAGTGAGCATGGTACATGACACACATTGCTTTATAGCTGACCTTTGGGCTGCTGGCCTCAAGTTTTAGTTGCATGAGCTGTGCTAGTGTGTGTTCCCGGATACTACTCAGTTCAGCTTGCTGCCGTCTCAGCTTTATTAGCAGCAGCGTGAGCTCCTCTGGCTGAAGGAGTGCAGCGTGAGAAGCCAAAGAGTAGAAAACAGGTTAATTGGTATCCTGAACAACACTTCATTAAAATAAGGGTTCTTAGTAGCCTTCTTACAAAAACTTTCTATAGCGATACAACAAAAGATACAGTATTTTTCCCAAATTGACCACTTTCAAATATGTATAATGAAGGGTTAAGTTTAAACTATTAAAAACTCTGTAATATTGTAACACTCTGTACAAAGGACAAAAAAGTGAGGATATTGAAAGCAGTCTACAGCCCCCAAACTTCTTCTAACATGCATATCAAATTGATGATACTGACTTAAGTGAAGGGGGGGATAATTCCAGCCCTTAGGATAGCACTGTCTGTACATGGACAGCCATCTGAGCTTGGTGAAAGAAACAAAAAATTCCCTCAAGAAAATCTAGTTTCCAAAATAATTCTTCAAATGCATGCATCAAAATTCAGAGTAAATAAACCCTCCTCCAGTAGCAGAACTACATCAGAAACAATCATCTTTCACAAAATAAAACTGCACAGGCAAGACAAAAATCATTCTCTGTCCCACCTTCCTCAGGTCTGAGGCTTCCAGTTCAGTTATTGCTTTACTTTTATGACTAAGATGTACGATACAGCCTCAGGAAGGGATGAAGAATAGTATTTACAGCCCACAATTACATATATAATGGAAATACAGTTGTACTGAAATGGGTATTTGTCAGGTAATTCCACACAGACCAGTTTAGGTCAGTTTGGGAAAGTCTACCTGAACCATTCCTGGGAACCACTTCTATTAGCAACACTTCAAAGAAAACAAAACACTTCACATCACAAGTATTTTTGTTATGTTCCTGTTTTTTTCCTTTTCTTACGCTTCTCCAGAAGTCAATCTTATAAGAGGTTAAATATTCATCCAGGATTTTGATTTTCCCACAAGTTCTGTGAGTTAAAGAAAACCCAGACACAAAAGCCCTAAAAGCCTGCAGTCCCAGAAATTCCCCAAGGCAAAGAAGTAAGGAGAAAAGCCCCATAGAACCAGATATTAAATTACTGAAAAACGAATACCAGTTTCTTAGAACAAAGAGGAAAAATGCCCGAGAATGTGCGACACTGGCACCGTTGTGAGCTCGTACTTGAGTAGCCCACAAGAGGGAGCAAGGGATTTCCATATAGCTTCAGCTGTCAAAACCGTTTGCTTTGAGGGAAATCCAACACCAAAGCCAAACTGTCTAATGGCCAATCTTCCTCTTCTAGTACTCTTTCAATACCTGGATTTAATATACTTAATCTCAGAAAGTAAGCGTAGAATCTAGACTGCTACACAAGACACTTTCAAGTTCTCTCCAAGAAGCAGTGACAAGAATTCTAGTCTAAAAATTACCGTCAAAGAACAAGAAAACTATTTTTAGAAATAAGAGAATTGAAAGTAACTTGTATCTTCAAACAAAAGAAACAGTGAATCACTTTTTCAACACCAAAACTCATCTCGGTATGTTCTGCAAAAGCCTGATTTTAGTGCATTAGGAATAAACTATTTAATGGTACTCAAATTCAATGTTTGCAAGGAAACTTTTTTGCATAGAGGAACCCATCAAACATCCTACTCCTCTCTAGACATTCATAATGTTGCAACCATGTTTGACATTGCTGTAAGTGCTGCGCTTTTGATAGAGCTCTTGGGACTCTTGCAACACCCACAACACAGAATTTTGTTTAGAGAGCTACCTACAGGTTTCCTCCTCTGGCCCTTGCAATGACTGTGCTGTGGGCAGGACTTCGCGTTTCTACAGGCAGAAGCTTGGACCTCCTTGCCCCCTACCCCGCTCATCAGCCCAGCTTCAGCAGCAGAGCCCAGGAGAGCTGATGGGGCCATGAACCCAAAGAAAGGTCTGCAGAAGACGAGGCACAGAGGTGAGGCGCCAGCTGCCAAAGGCCAACCCGTAAGTTGCTGAAGGTGCCAGGGATTCATGCTGGGAAGTGCAAGAAACAGGGGCCAAGGCAGCGGAAGGATTGACTGGGGAGATGTTGCCCACACAGTACGAGTCAAAATCTGTATTCTCAATTCATAACTGTCTCAAACAGTAATTTCAGATGGACAAAGGATTACGGAAAGGAGACAAAAACTGGTAAATAAATGTAGTGAATTTAGGACAATTTCTTAGCTTTAGGCTAAGAGTCATGTTTCAATTAGGAAGGTGGACAGTATTCCCCAATATTACTTTGATGAAATACCTTCAATGAGAGTTTCAACTCTATCACAGAAAAATGGGAGATGTCAGAAAGGACATAATTTTTCCAAATCCAGTTTTGGTATTCTTAAGCTTTCAAAAAAAAAAGGTAAACTTTTCTTCTAGGATTTTCTAAATACTTAATGGAGACATAAGTGTTCTAGGATGTTCCACCCTCTCCCAGGAATTTCTCTAATGTATCAAAGACGATTAATAAAAATATCAGATGTATTTTTCAAAGAAAATCTGGAGTCAGCAGCTACACAATATTCTCAGAATTCAATGTAACCACAGAGTACTACTTTAGTTGCTTTAAAAATCCTTAATAGTTAAAATGAAGGCTACATTTAACACAAGCTTTGAACAGAGTAAGACCTCAGCATTGCCTCTTCATACTTAAAGAATTACGCTTAGGAAAAAAATGATGTACCAAATAAAAATCCAACTCACTGTTTTGCCTTGGAGGCTCTGAGGAGTAACAGGCTGTAAACTCAGACCTGCTGGCATTGACCTTCTGTCAGGCACAAAGACATGCTGTACAAAAGCAAAATAGCACAGTATGATCCATAGTTATCTACTCCACAACTATTAAATGCTAAAAGAAAGTCAAACGAACTTCATGCTCACGGCAAATTTGCTATGATTTCTGACAGCCTTGGCCAGTCATGCTCCCTGCTGATCTACCATCTAGGACGCTTGAGCAGCCTGCCTCTAACTTCTAGAAACTTTCATCATTCACTTGATGAACAGTCCTTCCCTCAAAGCTGTTGCCCTAATCATAGCCCATGTAAACAACAATCTTAGTTTTTCAGCCCTCACTGAAAGCTTTTTAAAAACCTAAGATCTCTGTATAGATGGAGTTTAAATCTTAAATTTACCCTACTGATTTCAAACAGTCTTCAAATTATCCACCTCTTAAAAACAGGTTTGTGCTTCTAAGTCAATGGAAAAAGTTAATTGTGTAACTAAAAAAACACAAACGAAATAGCATGAAAAACCGAAGGTAAATAAGACTTGTATAAAAGATGCTAAAAACGAAATGAAATACTACCATAAAGTGTTCCACAACGAAAAAAAATGTGAGAAAGCAAAACACGGCTGAGAGGACAAGTAAGCACGTGTTCTGTGGCACTGACCCTAGCGGTATATCTCGGATTTCTGAGAAGCACCGATTACTGAATTTCCAGTGCAGCTGAGACAAAGGATGTCAAAACAAAATTATTCCTTTGTTGATAAAGACCTAAAAATTTTCCACACAGCAGACTTAGTAAACAACTGTAATAGCTTTAAACTGCTTTAAGATACAGTTAAATGTTTTTTCCTGCATCAAGAGACATAAAGACACTCGAGATAAAGATTTAGCAAAAAGGAGCATTTTATAAAAATTCTAGTTTTACATTCAACTTAGAGAATAATTTTTATGTAATGTCCAATCTATTAAAAAAATATGCATAACACAAGCATGACGGATATAGCAGATACATGCCACATATGGCACCCAGGCAATTTTTTGTCTCTCCCTTTCACTGATGAAGACTAGCAAAGTTATGCTAGTCAGGCGCTCAGGTTGTGTGCAAATAGACTCTGATCTTCTTTAGTGATCTCCCCAACAACTCAATGGCATCAAAAGAAATTACTGCACTCGGTTTTCTGTTGGAACCCAAGGCAGTCAAACTTGTGGCTGAAGAATACAAAACAGCACGTGGAAAGAAATCTGGGATTTTTAGTCCTCAGAGTTCCAGCTAAAAAAGCTAGAAGGGAGAGGGAAGTCTATACATACAACAAACTGTTCTGAATAATTTGCCTATTGACTCCTTTTCTTTCCTTTAGAGAAATCTAGTATTGTGGACAGTAATATTAAGAAAACAAGTTTTCACCTAGAGTATTAGAAAAATATATGTTTACAATCTTTAGATTTTTACATGCTTTTTAAAATCAAATTTTTCTCCATGAAAACACTGATGTAACTTAATCTTCATTGCAATAAAATACACTACAGCGCAACATGAGTTCCACAGTAACAGCACACTTTCTACTACAAATCCTTGTAAATAAGATATTTAACTATTAAAATAAGTATTTCACCTTAGTATGATGCGTCCTGTGTCTGCGATCAATAGTTACATCTCCCCTTTGCACTGGTGAAGACACTTCTGATCTGTAGGTCCGCTGCGGGGAATATCCTTGGAAACCAGCAATTGAACCATGAGAAGGTGAGGTGGGAATCGAATGCATCGTCTGATCAGAAATATTAATCATAGTTTTTGGGCTACTTAAAGTACTGTGTCTACTAAGAGTTGTTTGCTTATTGTAAAACTGACGTTGCTGCCATTCATAGAGCTGCCACATCGTGTCATCGCGCATCGACCTCCGTTTTTCTTCGGCTGTTACTGGTCCCACGGCTCTATCATACGCTGACGGCGTCACGCTGCAGAGGCTCTCCGGCCGGGCTTTGCTGTTTCGCGGCAGCGTTCTGTAGCCTTCCGGGTACCGGGGTAAAGCTTGAGGTCGATGGCTTGGCATGTTTCTTGGCAATGTCTGATACGAGACTATGCTGAAACACACATTTCCTTTTTATTAGTGGGCAGCATTAATACTGAGGCAATATAAAGTTTTTCAGTACTGGTTAGGTTTATCTAACTCTTATCTTTCTTAATACTACAAGTGGCGTTTAAAAAACCTGCAAGAAAATAAAGATGACAATTAAGAATCAACTATACTGACTGAATGCACTATAGCACCTGTAACTGAATCGTCCCTCTGACTAGCTGCTTGATCATCTAATCGACATTTCATCTTTTTACCAGTTTAACAGCCTAGTAGTGCCGAGTTTAGATCAAATCTCCTATCTTGTCTACATGCTGGATAGGTCAAAGTTTTGAAAGCTTTGAAGTTCTATATGGTTTCCACATGAGTCCATTTTTAATGTTTTCTTTTTCAAAAGTGAAAAAATCTGTTGTTTCCCTAAGAGAATCTTGAGCAATTACTGTGGACGTAAAAGGAATTATGATTTTTTTAACAGCAGACCAAGGAAAAATAGCAATAATGGTCTAATAAAATCATATCTTGCAATTGTCAAGGACAAGCCATTCTATATCAGCTATTCAAGTGAAACAAGTAGCAAAATACTCCTTTGTTTAATAATATTTTATTGCTTTCCAACTCAGATATGAATTTAAAAGCTTATTCTTTAATTTATTGCCACATTAAAATTCTGGAGTGCTACTGTCATTCAGCAACTTTCAGCATTAGCCGAAATGCAAAACGTTCCACACCCAGTATCGATGCATGCCTAAGTATGACAAAGCATTTCTTGTTTTTCACAGAGGACAAAATCTAGGTCATAAACATTGATCCATTCAAACCTTATCTAAAATTCAGATGAGAACCTCTTCGAGCCTTTTGCTGCTGATCACATCTATGACAGATGCTCTCCCAGAGACAACCGAAGTGATCTCAAACGGGACACGATGCAGCCATCAGAGGGCAGCAGCTTCCAGCTACACCCCGGACTAATTCAAAGCAAAGATACCCTGACAACACAAGGCACCAGAATCTGAAGATGGTTTTGAATGACTTCAGTGCCGCAAAAACATTAAAGAAATGATGTATGGCAAATGGCAAAGGAAACTATACGATGCATGTCAGATCCTTATGGAACAGCTACCAAGGAAACTGATGATGGTAAAACCCACTTTTCACTGAAAATAGTAAGCTGAGTATTTATGACCCGTAACATTTTGGAGATGAAAACTGCTATAAAAAGCTTCACATACAAAATCTGCTACATTTTCTGAAACTTTCCAAGAATTAATGAAGTGTTATTCCCGTTCTGTAGACTGGGCAGCTTTCCATTCTCAACAAAAAGAAAAAAAAGAAAAGGAAATGGATTCTAAATGATATTCTTTCGCTACAAAACCTGCTTAAATACCTCGAAATTTCTTCATGTAACATACCATTACCAATAAAAGTTTTTCTCCATCTCCATATTTAAACAACAACCAACCAAGACACTTTTGGTTTCAATTTGTAACTTTCAAAAAATTATTTTAGCTGTTCACAAATGGATATGGTGAAGCCTGGTATTTTCACGAAGGTATCTGCTAGCTAGATACACCTCACTTACTGAAGCTCCTCTCCCATATTAGTAATTAATTGGGCAGTGTACTCCCATTGGTTCCTTTAAATATTCCAGACAACTTGAAGAAAAGCTGTCTGAAGTTCTTACTATGTAAAGATAGCAACTTAAAGCCTGCATGCAATTACTTATATTCTGAAACAACTGGAAGATAACATACCCATCTTCGATGGGTAAACCACGAAAACTGTCAAAAGCCCAGCTGCCTCAACATTAAGCCTTGTTGTACATAATTTGATAAAATCAAAACAGATTGACAAATGTCCTGTCGATACTTGTAAAAATGTCATTCTAATCAAATGCAAAAAACAACTCTAGACGGTGCTGCAGCTCGTAAGTGAGTTGCAGGCGAGGGGAGGGAGACTGCTGCAGAGGGTCAAGCAGTCATACACACTGCGGGGCTGCATAATATTTCTGCAACTGTCATCGTAAATAGCTCCCTATAAATGTTCCCATAGGAAAAAAAAGTCTTCCACATGAGTTTGTAGACACCTTTAGAGGTTGTCTCTAGGATTATTGTTGGGTAGCAATACTGGTTCTGGTGTCTGAGTTGGACTATTTGGGAAAGCGACTTTGCTGCTAAACCTTTTGGGGCTCAGTTCTGCAATGGTATGAATACTCCCAGATCGAAACCTCAAAACAGTCCTCCAGCTGGCCCAGAATACAGAACCTCCACGTGGGAATCAAGCAAAGGGTTGCAGAGTGAAGATGGAAGCCTGGTGCTGTGCATTTAGGACGAGGTGTATATGAGCAAGGTGGGGAGACAGAGGCTCCCATCCTGCATTAGCAGCAACAAAACCCTCAGTACCACACAACCCTACTGGTTTTTCACATTTGAGAAAGATCACTGAAGTGAACCACTTTTGGTGAAAACATCTACTCTTGACTTGTGCAAAATTAATTCAATAGAATGATACTGAAGTGGAATGTTTTTATCTTTTATTTAAAAAACATTTATTTTCAGTTCAAAAAAATGTTTGTCTTCCTCAAGGCATCAGTTGTCTTTATTTGTGTTGCTCTTGCAAAAGTAGATGTCTAGATCCACAGAAACAGCAGACAAGAGCTTCAGGTATTAAAAACTACATTGCTGCAATTCTCATTAATTTTTCACTCAATCAAACTACTAAAGGTTCAGCCTGTTCCTCTGAAAAATTAGTAGTTCTACAGTGAACCCTTTTTATTCCATACTGAGGACAGCTAACAGCTCCTGTTTTATATATACTTATTTAATTGAACCTATTTGTTAACATTTTAGTGTTCTTAAAAGTCCTAATTTTTTTTCAGTCTGACACACCAGAGATATTCAGTTTGGCCCTCCACGATCTCTCTAACACATTGGAGAGACGGACACAATGTAAAACATGTTTGTCAAAAGTCAGCAACCCCATCAGGTGAAGACCACTTTTCTCAAAAATTCAACTTCTGAGTTGAAGAGGTCTTACTACAAGCAGCCTTACTAGCCTGCCACCCCAACCTTAGGCATCAGCATAAACTGGAATGTCTTTCGACTCTCATTCACCAACTTAAACTCTACTGAAATTTCTGTCTCCAGCCAGAAATTTTCAATCTGAACAAAAAGGAAATCTAAAATTTAAATGAAACCACATTCTAAAGACATCACTATGTATTGTAAATTTGGATCATTACTCAAGGCCACTTCCACACTAATTAAAAAAAATAGCTCAAGGCCAATTCTTCTTCTGTTTGCTACTTCTGTGTAGAACTGCATGTGAAAGCATACCCTTTGTGCTATCAGTGCCACTCGTCTTTAAGCAACAAGCGTTCTCTATAGTTAAGATAAACTATTGTCAATTAGTAACATGCTGTTAACAGTATTTCCCTCTATTTGATTCCCACAACAAAATTTGTTTTAGCGTCTTATACTTGTTCACAACTGAAAAATGGCACGGCTATTCAAATTGCTACTGTTTGGTTGCAAGTTTTACAATCCAATTAAAAAAAAATGTATTTGCAAAGAGCCTTCCCAGTTCTCATGACGCAAGCATGTATAATAAAGTACATGCCAGAGTGTGCGAGTCGCTGTCAGTACTGCAAGTTCAAACTTGATCAAACTACTTACACTGAGTCTTTCATGAAGCAACACATTAACAATTTCTAATTATATTTAATGAAGGACTAAAGGCAATGAGGAAATGTTACACAAATTTGGACAATTGTAAGTCAAACTAATTAAATTTTTCAAGTTTTTGCAAAAACTGAAAAGTCCCCAACCCCCCTATTTTGCAAAGTGAAGAAAAAACATTTTCTGAACTTTGTTCTATCTTAAGCTCTGCTCTGCCATCTATCTATATGCAAACTCCTTGATTTCCAAATTGTCAAAATACCTCCTGTGACAGCATCTCCATACTTCCTATCTAATGTAATATTAAAAACTTTTATATTTTACTGCTAGCGCTGCTTTTCTGTAAGCCAGCCTGGAAGGAAAGTCCCTACACTTACGTCAGACAGAAAAATTGCTATCGGCACAAGATTCAGTATTGCCAATCATTCACGTATAATTTTAAAGCTTCATGAATAAGCACTGGAACTCAGAACTTGGGAGATGTGTAATTTCATGAGAAAAGAAGCCTTAAGCATCAGGATAGTTAGATTTCTATGACATACTCTTAGGTAAAGCTTCCCTCTCTCCAAGTAAAGCTTGTTGAAAGTTAAAAATCTCCCTGGAATATTTTTGAAGAATTTTAAATAAAATATTATTACAAGAATTTGTGATCAAAAATGCGTATGATGGGGCAATTTCAAGAACAGATATTAAGAGGAAAAAGAATTGTTATGATTGATGACACCTTCTCTCTGCTAGGATAGAGAAATTTCTAACACCCAATAAAGGTTTCTGGCCATTTTTATTTCTGAAGTTATTAATATTGTTTAATTTATTAATAATCACTCAAACGTTAATAAAAAAGAAACTTTAATAAATCTGTTCTGAGCAATCATCCAGATACTTCTTACAGAGAACAATTAATTATATATTTATGTAATATAGACCAAAACCTAAAGAATCTCACCAGGATACAAGTCTAAGGATTATTTGCTAGAAAGCCAAGAAAAAAAAAAAAAAACCCCAAAAAAACCCCAAGTACTACATAGTACTTACCCCCTTGTTTCCTCTTCTTGTCCTTTTCCTCTTTGTATTTTAATCCACTGTTCCAACTGTAGCATTGAATTTGTTCTCTGCATAACTCGTTCAGACTCCATAAGTGACTGGACCGCATTGTGCTGACCTCCATCTCCAGAGTCTGCCAGGACAACACCAACAGCTTTATTCTCAGACCCATTTAAGTGAACTGGCCTGAAGTGTCCAGCCTGAATCGTGGTTATGGGTAAAGTCCTGTATTCCGATCCCAAAGGATTTAGTTTTACACTGTTAATTTTCGTTAATGGTTTATCTTGCCCAACTTTCTGGAATCCATATTTTTCAGCTTCCAAAGCTTTCTTCTCCTCATTTTTGTTCACTTCTTTGTTCTTCTGGTTATTTTGTGCCTCTGGCTTAATTAGCACCCGATGGTTTGAAATATTATTTGCCTCTCGAGGTGGTGTATTTTCAGTAGTTAACTTCTCTACCCTGGAAAGCAATACATGACAAGCTATAAAATCAACAAAACATTCATTAACAAACAGTAACAGAAAATAAGAAGTGAATATATTAGTGTTTATCAGGGTTATTTCAGTGAATCCCCATCCAGATATTTTGTCTGCGAGAGAAAAATTCAGGACATATTTTCACAATAATCAAGAACAGGTTGGGTTTTTTTGTTGTTGTTGTTTTGGTTTTGAGGGCTTTTGTTTTGTTTTTGTTTTGGGGGTGGTGGTGGTGTTTCATTTGGTTTGGTTTTTTTTCTTTGTTTGGTTGGTTGGTTTTCGGCTTTTTTTGGTTGAAGAGCGTGAGTGTTTCTTCTTCCACACTTCTCTGTTCCTTTGCTATTTTAAAAGCATTTACATCATGGGGTAAATTTTTTAAGCCAACTTCTAATTAACCTCTTAGGAAAAATGTGCATAAGCGGAAATAAAGCCAGAGTCTGAAAAAGTGGATGTTCAGATCTTGGAAGGCTGGACATTCAAACAGTAAAAATATTCAGTGGCTCTCCAAGAGCTAAAGCTTCTAGATGTCAAGAGCCTAAACTTCAGATGATTTTTAAAGCCATTTTTAAAAATAGAAGCAGATTACATTGCTGACCACTTTGTGATTCACAATACAACTGAATTTAACATATAATGAGCTCCTTTAAAGAAAGCAAACAACTTTTCATGGTCACTGGCATCAATTAGGTTTCTTGGGTATGTTATCACTTTGGCTGGCACACATTTTGTGGAAAATAACTGTGGCTTACCTAATTTTCAGGGGGAAAATAGCTGCTGACTTGGGGAACTGTACCACAAAAATAATGGTATTTTTAGAACAGCTACTGCTTTACAGTACTTACACAAGTACTCAATGTATGCAGTTCTATTAGCTAGCTTCTTTTTCAGATTTCAAAATGTCAAGAAGCTGTATCCTTCCTGTACTGGGACGGGAACTGAACATCCAGCTCAGACAGTGACCTTTTCTTCAGTTTACTAGGAAAAAAAACCCACCCAAAACTCTAAAATGTTTTGATCAACATTTTCTGGTACAGGAAGAGAGAAGAGGAAGAGACATAATTCTTTAAGATTACATCTCTGCATAAAACCAAACCTAGAACAGTATGATGTCAAATTAACCTTTCACATTGTTTCGCATCTTTTTTACAAATGCATTTTTCATATTTATAACTGTGTCCAGTTCAAGTGCCTAATCCATGTGTAAAAAGGCCACCACGTACACAACTGACCAAGAGCACAAGGATGACCGCTCCTCTAAAAAATACTCTAATTTCAAGCAGACTAACTACATAGATAACTAAGTATTTTGCTTACCCCGTCTTGAACAAGAAGCTTAAATGTCCAACAAGTCTACACTTCCCCAACAGATTATTTAAGCCATGAATTCCCAATAGGCCAACAACTATTTGGGACAGAACCCCAGCAAATACATAAAGGATTAAAAACTGTAAGGTCCTTATAAAATACTACCCACTGCTAATAATATTGGACAATTAATTTTAAATGCACCTCCCACTACCACCCTACTCTTACTATGAGTTCTCCATGATGTGAAAGGAAATCAACAGACTCCTGCCTTGACAAGCACACTATTTCAAATGTATCTCTCGGAAACAGCGAGACATCAATGTCCTCTGCATATTGTACAGTGACTTGGAATGAAATGCTTGTTCACTCTGCATATTAAGCAGGGGTGTGATTTGTTTTTCCCCATGCCTCTCCCTGACATAGTTGTGATGATCCCAATGTATGCTTGATACTTCATAATGTTACAAAAGTCCTCCAGAATTCACTCTATTAATATAAATAGCTCAAAATAGCCCTTTTCTTTCAGTGATTATTCTTGAGCTGCCAACGGGATGGCATACACATACATCAAACGTATTGCAAATGAAAACATTCATACCAGTAACGTAACACGAACATCTCTTTGGCTATATGCATCAGCATTATTCTTAAACACAGTGGGTTTTTTTCCCCATATATCACTATTAAATGCAGAGGTTAGACACATCTGATGTTTTCTGCTAGCAGAAAGAAGAGGGTAATATTTCTGCCAAGCATAACTCGTAGAGAAAAAAATTGTGATGTAGAGCCAGTTTTTATGTAGACTTCTGTGAGGGAGGACACATGTGATGGAACTGCTACACCTACATCATCTTTATTCTATTATTTCCAAGTATCAGCAAAGAAATGCTATGCTAATCTCCTACTGCAATTTAGAAGTGAGGTGTTTTCTGCTTATTTTTTTCCCCCTAAGACTTTAAACTGTTCCCAAGACCAAACATTTCTGCCTATATTCCTTCTCAAGGTTACATAAAATAAAAAAATGGATCACCTCCTACCTTGCACCTCAAAACTGTGCTACCACGAACTAAAGGAATTTCCCAAACACGAGAGTGAATTAAAAACTCCATTTCCCACAATTATCAAGTAAAAAAAAGGTGTTAAAATATCAGTTTTCAGCCAGGACTCGAGAGTTCACAAATAAATAGGAGTAGCTTGCAAATAATGCTAAAACACAGGCATTAATGTATGCAACATGCCTTAATAGCACCACCTAACCCTCATATAGCACTTTACAACAATCTTCCTCAAGGTGCTCTACAGCAGACAAGCAGTTGTCATTTTACAGACGGAAAATCTGTGGTGCAGAGAGAGTGTGGCATCTCTCAGGACATTTGTCAGACGGGTGGTAAAGTCAAGACCTAGCAGTGTTCGAGTCACACTATTGTACTATTTTCCACTGTACATCTTCATTAACAAACAACAAATCCCAAAATCACAGAATTGTCTTTCTGTGCGATCTCTATGCTGTATCACTTGTTACTATGGTTATACACAGCAGAGCCAAGCATTTATATCTGACATTCTCTGCGGTGGTGTGGAGGCCGAATGATTGACTTTCAAATGTACTTCTGGGCTCTCCTTTAACTTTGTGCATCAAATCAGTCAACTCAGTGTGAGCAAGAGATCTCCTCCCACAGCAAAGGATCCAAATGGGAAAGAATTATCAGAAACTAATAGGTAAACGTAAGAAATACAAATCCATATTTATATTTGGCTCTGTATTTATATCTGGCTCTCAAAGACATATTCAACAAGACTTGCACGGTATTTTGAGGACATGAGAGGGAGAAGACAAAAGAGGATGAGCACTGAACATACACACCAGCATACACTGGATGCCATTTCTAGGTTTCTACAACAAATATATAAGTTTATATAAGTAAACAATTCTGAAGGTGGAGGGGCATGTAATCAGGTATCAGACAGACACAAAGACTGATTTAACACAGCCAGAGGCATTTGAAAAGAAAAAGCCATCTTTTCCAAACACAGTGATGCTGGTAAACCCCCACTGTGTATGTCATTATGCTAAGAAGTGATTTTCTGGCAGCTTAGCTTACACTGTTCACTGAGGGTAACTACACTAGGAAGAAAAAACTCCACTCTTCTCTCAGTACATGCTGCATCACTCAGAAGAAACAACGGCTCTGGCACACACAGCTGACAGTGAAAGGATAGAAAAATACTGCTCTTAAAAATGGGAGAGTAGAGAAATCAGCATTTAGGTTAAAAAAGACAAATGAGTATGTTGGTGGGTATTAGCATCTACAAACACAAGCAAGCAATCAGTACTCAAAGACACAACTTAACTATGGTCTGCAGTGACACAACATGGAATGAGTAAAATGCTTTGCTAATACAGAGAGGTTGTCTGAGATGATATTTTGAGTCATAAGCTTAAACAGTTCTTCACTGACTACAGTATTTGTGGTTAATTATTTTGATAGATCTCTCACTACATTATTAAACTTGAATTCACTCACTAGGTAAAATGAAAACAAAAATGTTTAGAAAGGAGTAATTATAGTTAAGTCAATGGGATCAAATAATACTTGTCCTTCCCTGCAGTTATACGTCAGAAGGGAGTTTTTCTGCTGTGACTGCAGGTCAGTTCTAAAAGAAACAGTTACATTTTTATATTCTCACCTCAGTACCTCATTTCTGCATTATGTGGATAACTATATGCGGAAAGCAAGAGTATTTTATGGAAAACTAGGCAAAACCTTCACAACTTAATGTTTTATATATTCCTTTTATCTTTTTTCTCTTCAAGGAACGTGCATCCTCAGAAAAGTAAGTACACAGGTTGTAGCTCTGAAACTATTTAAAGCTGAAATATTCAATTTAACACTGTTGGGTTTGGATTTTCAGAGTATCATAAGCAATGAAGTACCTTGACTTCCAGATTTAAAGAACTATACTGTAAAAACTCTGACTTATTATTGGACAATTAATATTAACAGGCATTTAAGAGTGGTTCAATATGGGCTTGCATGAATACTTAAGGAAGTTCTTAGTAACTCTAGCTATTGTATTATAAGTATGTAGTCTGTTAGAAGACTGTGTTCAGCACAATGTTAGAACTTCTAGAAAAAACAGAATTGAGAAACAAAGGCACTGGCTGGATTTGACTGAACCAAAATTATTTCTGCATAGAACTATGTGCATGCCAAACTTTAGGTTACTTAGAGATGAGGTAATACAATACTTAATAACTAACAGACAGGGAAGAAAAAAGTATTTCTTCTGGATAAGATCATATCCTGCTACAATGGTTCATTTTAAGAACCGGTTTGATAGCCAAAAGATGGATTCTTTAGAAAACAGATGTCTGAGGGATTTTTTCCTTATTATAGCTTACAGACATAAAGGTCTTAGAGACTTCACTGCTCTTGAAACATCTTTTCTCTCAAGTAATTATTTCAAGACTAGTAACAAACTTTTCAAAGAGGTCACGTCTCTCTTGTTTCATTCTAGGGTTTCTTGTCTGAATTAAAACAACAAGATGGTGTTACACAAGTCGCTTTTGCGGTTGCTTTTCTGACACTTGTTTTCGGTGTTGATAAGCCTGTTCTGCCTGCAACAGCCAGGCAGAAAAGCACCGATTTTGCTGCTGAGCACTCTTCTACTAGCTTTGTGTGCTACACTGATTGACCAAGCAGCAAGATAAGCACCCAAAGCAATGCAAGGCAGATTTCAGGAGCACGTATAGCTGGATGAAAAGTGTCAGACAAGCTCAGCTACATTCGGAATCCCCGCTATTTGCCTACATGCTGCCAAACACTTGAAACGGGCAGCCATCGGTGCTGGAACAGGCACTGGGGCTGAAAGAAGGGGGCAGGAGTGCACGGCCAAGCCTTCTGGGAGGCTGGAACACCCTTCACTGCAACAGGCTGCACATCTGCCTAGTTAGGGCAGCTTGGCACTGCAGCCTGGGAAGGACAACCAGCCTGCAAAGCTGCGCCAGGACGAGCTCGCTATGTGCCTCACTATGCTCTGATGCAGCAAATGCGACCGTACAGCTGTACTAATGAATTGCACCGAAGAGTGGATACTTACATTACCGTTTTGGATTGTTTCTTATGTTAAAAGAAATGTTACAAGTAATAATGTAACAGCGGTCTGTATAATGAAGTTTACTAAGTATCTTCTATAGAGCATTGACTATTATGGGAGAGACTATGAAGACAACACTTACTAAGGAGGCTCTGTCAGACGGAGATACACTTTTCTTACACTGATTTTTTTCTACTACAAAGAAGTCCTCTTCAAACGTTCAATCTTCACAGTATTGCAAATACCAAAGGTAATTCCACCAGTTCAAAGAGATTCAGAATGGCCCACTTCAGTATTACTCCCCCTGCAAAGTGCTTATACAATCAATATATGATTTTTGTTGAAATAAAGCGGGTCTGATTTGGTTTAATCATTTCTCCATCTGTAACCTACCACAGCCATCTGCAATACACTTACAATGCAAACTAAAACTGATTTTTCAGATTAGTTTTATTATTCACTAAGCAAAATGAGATATTTTATTTTGTCAAGGTAACGTGTTTCTTTTAAGAACAACCTCTTAAAAGCTCTGAAAAGAGAAATTAAAAGGTGAGAATGCTACTAAGTATCTACTTGCTTGTGCTCTGTCTCACTCTGCTCATCACTTCTCCCTGTCATCTACCGTTCCAAAACATGAGGAGGGTTACAGGAGACAAAGAACCTAACATCTTCCTTTATAATACAAAATCATACACAATCAGATCAAATTTCACTGTGGTAACTCGGTCTCCCACTCCTCCTTTGTACAATCTGAAATATTTGATTTTCAGAAATTTTGAGAAAAACAAACACGACAGCTGAGACCTTGCAGCATGTGTTATTTTTCCATAGTACAGAGAACAATGTATTTTTCTATTAAGTTACTTCACCATGGTGTCGAACACAAAGAATGAAATACTTCATATACTACCTGTATATTTAAAGGACAGTAGAGACAAAAGCTAAGATTTCAACCTTTTGTTAAGGTTACTGAGTAAACAGTTGCACAGGTACAAATTTAAAAATGTTCCTAGTTTACAGTTATCCTTCTGAATGTCCCATACATTGGCATAAGTAAAAGTTTCACTATGCTTGACCGAGAAGCTCACAGAATATGAAAACATGTAAGACTGCCAGTATCTAACCATTCTGGATTCCATTTTATGTTTCTGCTAGTACCGTACTGGAACACGGGATATAGAAATTTCAGGAACAAGTTAACAGGAATGACTTGCGTTGGTGATGCAAAATTCGGAAACACTGCTTGTATTTTGTCAACATATTCAATGTGCTCACTCTTCTTCAAAAATTGTGCCTTCTTTGGTATTTCTGTCTATGGAATTTTTTGCCTTGTTTTTTCTTAAACTTGAAATTTCTCAGCACTGCTGCCATTCATTTAGCTCAAGTGTGGTAGGAACTAACAGAGTGCAGAAGTAGATCAAGTGACAGCAGCCATCAGCAATAACTTCTGTGCAATCAATAATGAGGAGGTTTTAAGTTTTCTATTGATGAGGTTCCCATCACAGATGACTTGGAGCCAACCCAAAGGACAACATTCAGAGAGAAAACGATTCTTACTGGACAGACAGCAGCAGACAATATCCAGTTCCTGAGAACACAGGGCTTCCAGTGGTAACTTGCTTTTCATTGTCAACATATGGATAAGTAAAGGACAAGGCTCCATATCAGGCAAGTATAAATTTGATAACAGCTTAATGATGAACAAGAACGGCTCCCCACAGGTTGCCCAGAGGTGCAACTGTCTAATTTTATTAGAAACTATGGTTGTGAACTTGAGACTTAGGACAAGTTTAAGCCAAAGACTACCACCAGGTGAGCTGCTACTGCTGTTCAGTCAGGGGGGCAGGGGAAGTCAAACGTGCCTGTACATAGTACTTGCCATTGTCCTGCTTCTGATGCCACTGGCTAAAGGAACTTATCAGGTTTTTGTCATCTAGCTACTTACTCTCAAGGCATCCATACTCAGAACAGAACTTACACTATTTTTACTACTTCAAAATTTTATCCAATATTGTTAAATTTGTAAGGGATCTTCAATACAAGGAGAAATTACTTCAGTCCATTTACATTCTATTTTAAGGTGTACTCATTCATTTAAGTAAATCAAACTAAATATGAGAACGAAATATACTGTGCCACTGTTCTGAAAATCCACATTACCTTTTCACAGGCTCTGTCTGCACAAGTGCTGCGTCTGTCATGGCTTTCATCCACAACTCCATTTCCTTCCCTGTATCTGTGCAGAAATAATAGGTCCTCATGTTTGGATGAGCTGCCTGATTGGAAATGACATGGTCATTGCAATAAAAATAAGTGTCTGTAAAAGAAAAGAGGCAAATAATGTTACTGTATACTTGCTCTAATGTTTGCTATAATAAGATTTCTGCAAATAATAGTATCAGAAAAAATATCGGAATGAATACAATGTTTCTCTGTCACTGCATTCATAGTTTCAAAATTACTGCCTACAATTTTCAATCATAGCTGCTTCTTCATCAACACACTCAATAAAAAGCCCTTAAAACTTCTTCAATCTATTAGAAACTATCTTGACTCTCCATTAATGTAAATGAGTATGATTATTATAAAAAGATTTTGGCGTAGATCTTTGCAGTCTGAATGATACAGTAAGCTTCAATTTGTACTTACCACAGTAAATAAAGGATGTGTTGCTTAGGATGCCAACAGAGGAGCCAAAAGGAGCTCATAAAACAAACAAACAAACAAAAAAGGTCAAGAGAAAATATTTAGCAGAATGATTTATACCATGATTAAAAAGATTCGCTGTAAAAGACTCCTAACAGTGATTCATGTGACATTGTGATTTAAGTGATAATAAAATCTTATTTTTATTTATATGTAAAGATCCTTTGTATCTAAATAGCTACACAACTTTCATCAGCAGGATAAGTCCAGCTGCAGATGCAGTCTACAATTCTAAAACACCACACAGTATTTAAGATCCACAAACTAAAAACAAAAGACTAATAATAAGTGAGATTCATCCAATTTCTCATTCAGTAATTGTGTCTATATTTACATCAGGCAAAATACTTGAATCCTCTGCTACTGTATTATGCAAAAATCAGTCTCAGAAGCTGTTTGTCAGTCCTGTTTTGCATAACAACTCAGTAAAATGAGTTCTGATCACTAGGCTATTGTGCTTTCTGACATAAAATTAAACTGAAAAGTTGATTCCCTTACCTTAAAGGCATATTTGCGGTTAATATGGTCCTCGGGAGAAAGCACAGATATCTGAAAACTAGGTAGAAGTATGCTACCTAGTATTCCTTCTTCTTTCTCATCTGTGAATGTATAGACTTTGATTAGGGAAACAAAGTGTTTTGACACATTAATACTTTCAAACAGACCCTTCGGTCAAAGCGTACTTAACAACACAAGACCAGTAATGAGAAGTTTACCTCAGAAGAAACTGCATTAGAGAATCAGAAAGCCAGACTGATTTGTTACGCAGGTGTCTGTACACAGTCTCAGAGGTGTGCAGTCCCCCAGAGCAGTGCTGCAGCCCCTCTCTGCCAACACATGCCACGCAACGCGTATCACACAGCAGTGCATCCCAAAAATCTGCTAAGCACTGTAACACTTAGGCCTTGTGAAAGAGGTCACCTTCGATTTTTTCCCCAAGATGGACAAGCATAAAAAACCCTCCAGAGTGTGCTAGTTCTGTAAAAGTTCAAGCACGTGAGCTACCTTACGGAATCTGCCTTACTGAAAACAACAGGAACAGCTTCACTGAGAGTTTTTCTGGGGATCAGTGCTTACCTGCATATGACCTCAAAACTGAAAAGCAGATGGAAGTCAAGCCTCTAATTCAGTGACAAGAACAATACGTGCTATCTAATGCCTGCTCAGTAAAAACTGCAAATACCTATGAGAGCAGAAATACTTTAAAACACTGCTTATGACTGTCAGCCTTTGAGAAAATTTGCACTTTCTTCTTCTGATATCAGGCATATTAAGCTAAGTGTTTTCATAATTCCCATGGAGAGTTTACACTCAATTACATTCTATTTGTAAGAATGCATGTTCAGATAATCTGTAAAAACCAAACAAAGAGATAATTTGTAAAAACCAAACAAACTCTCCCCAAAACATACAACCTTTTTCCAGAACCTTTTTCTACATAAAATTTTAGAACAATACATTATAATAATAAATCATTTTAACTCAAAGCCACAAACAGCTCTTAAATCCAATCGTACTTTAATAAAGGAGTAACTGGATGCAATTCACAAAGTCAATCTTAACTGTGTTTCAGATACAGAACTTCTGTTCACAACCAGCATCTTGGGAGACTGTTCCCCCACAACATTTCTCCTAGCTGAAGATACTGCCCACAACAAGTGACTATGTATCTACGAAACTAAGATGAAAGCATAGCTATTCCAAAGTTTCAAGCATGGAAAATTAATGTAGCTACAATTAAAATACACATAAACAGCACAAAAGAACTACCTCTTATACATGGATTTAAAAATCTTTTCCCAGTTCTTATTTACTCACTACATTCTAAAAAGCCACACTTAAATCAAAATTATTCATATGAAAAAGCTCTGCCCAGCCACTTTAGCATTACATGACGTGTTAGATGTAAAAATCATGCTCTCTTGGACAGTTGTTTAACTGAAGAATTGAGCATAAAATTATTCTGATTAAAAGGTAGAAAAGAAATTAAGGAAGTGGATTTACTTTCAGGTACTCGGCTGCACTCCTAAGTAGGCCTAAAAGCACGCCACCTCCCCCTCTCAGATGTTTACTGCTTGCTAGCCACACGCACACACAAAATCTGCCTTTTTCCCCCTGTCCCAAACCCATGGCAAATGCTGGGGCTTGTTTTATTTGGACTGCTGTTTTGGGGAAAAACTCCCTTCTTCTGCTAGATTATAGTTTGACTTACGACTAAATCACACTCACTAGTGCCACATAAAAGCATTAAGCGTTTTTATTCCACTGAACAGCTGTATGTCTGGAGGACTTTGGTCTTTGTTAAAGACACACTGCTACAATTCAATTCCAGATTTTAAAAATCTGTTTCCTGTCAGACTAGCTTTTATCTACACATTACACTGCCCCATACTCATCTTTACTTGTATGTTGTGTATGAATAATACAAGAGAAAAATAGCAGCTTTTCTGTCCAACTCTAAGATCTTTTATTTGTCGCAACAATAACCTTCCAATATGAAAGTGGGCAGTATGAAACAGAAAAAGCATATTCTCTAAGCTCTGAAAACATGCAATGAAATCACTTTCCATCTGTAAATTCACTGTAAGCACTAGCAGCTACCATTGCAAAACAAATGTAAAAGTTCAGTAAGATTTACTAACAAAACCAAGAAAAAAACCAGAAAAATCTCCAACCACCCCAGTCACGTAATCAGATTGCTGTTTGTGATCTGGGAGTAAGTGCATGGCTCCTCCTTTTCAATTTTTTCACTGAGACAGAATTAACAAAAGCACAGGGTTTAGAGCGAATTTTTTTTTATATTTCAGTAGCTAGTTCTAATACCTTTAACACTATCACTACTCATATTTAACTACAGTTAATCAGCTTTAACTGCTTTCTAGTAAGCGAACAACAGCTAAAAGCTAAGTTTATTACGTAAACAATTTAGACTATTCTGCTTCTATTTCAGCTTATTTGGCACACTAACATGTAGAAATGAAAAAGTAAGATTATAGAGCTGTTTGGATTTATTTACTGTTGGTTTTGCTTATTTCTTTTTTGTTTTATTTTGAGACACTTCATGTGCAACGCTTTCAGTCAGTTTAATCTGTTCTTAAGGCAGCTACAAAGCAGCACTTTCTTTAGAACTTTTGGAAGAGAGTGCCCAAAGACTTGTTTAAAATAAGAAAACCTTAAAAGCAAGCACAGAGTATATAATGACCACTTCATTAAACGCAGTATAACTGTATTACAATCAATACCTCCATGACTGAAATGACAGCCTATTTTTGAGTCAGCAGTGGTTTATCCAGCTATATGTACTTTCTGGGGTAAAGAAACAAAGCCTAATGATTATATTTCAATCATTCAGAATTTGTTAACTAAAACAGCTAAAGAAAACACTTCTGTGTTTCATGACCTGATTTGTCTTGATTAGAATAGAATCACACTGGACTTTAAAAGCACAGCATTTTAAATTCATCAGTCACTGCTTTCAGCATCACCAGCATCAACACCACTTCTACCAATTCTAAAGTCTCATCCCAAACTGAAACCCCTTCTTACTCTTCACAAGGCTGCAGATGGCCCTAACTGTTCATTTCCCTCTATTTTGCCATGCTTTACCATCTTCTTTGCTCTTAGTATCCTTTAAGCTGTTACGGTTGTACACCTTACTTCAGGATTGAATTCATTTCCATATGCACAAATCCCATTCGTTTATCCCCTCAGGAGCCCTACAGTTAATAATCTGTAATGGTGAAGGAATCAGGTTTCTAACACACATATACCCAGATTAAAATTATAAGCAGCTAATTTTTCCCATGCAATATAAGTCTGATATATCTACAAAGGGGTACTAACAGATTTCTTTGTTCCAAAAACAGTAGAGACTTCTACTCATATGGAACTGGACAACGTTTCACTATGTAAGTATTCATGAACACTGATTAGATTCCCAAAAGGCATATATATCCTCTCTATCATTCCAACGGCAGAGTTTCAGCTCCCCTGCACTATCCCTTTCCTATCCCCATTTCAGTTATTTTATTTGCATGAAAAATCAGATTTAACCTGGCATATTTAGTGCATAACAACAGAAGCAGTGAGAAAACTACAATCCAGAATTTAATAGAAGAGGTGACTGTGAATGGGTTTGCCCTTTGAGCATACCCAACAGGCAGGAGGAAGCAATTATGTGAAAATAGCAATTAAGAAAGAACGAAAAAGAAGGAGGAAAAAAAAACCTAGCAGGCCTAGATATTGACAGATACGCAACTATTTTATCCATTAAGTTAAGTAGCAGCTTCATTTTTCTTACATTTGGGTAATGTGCCAAAATTTACCTGCTTCCAGTAAAATTAGCAAATGAAGCTCTCCTGAATGTAACTTACCTCTGTAATAGAAGAGACAGAGATCTGAGAGCACAAACCACCGTTTCTTCCATAACTTCATCCCAGTACTATCCTGTATTAATCAAAGCGATCAAGTAAGAACTTCTGGACTGCTAACAGTAATAGTTCATAAAGCAAACCGGGTACTACATTAACTGTGGTGGTGTCCTATAGTTCCTTTTCTTGGGCAAGATATTTTAAGTATCTTTGACTTCTCATCACAGACTTGACACTGCAACCCAAGATCATAACCCACGAAGCCTGAAGTTAAAATGATTTAAGAATAAATGAAATGAGAGCCCATTATTTTAGCATGCTGGAAACTACAATCTACAGTTACTTGGAAAAAATGTATACTTTTTTTTTTTTAAAGTAAATAAGCAAGGTAGTACTTGGGGTATACCCTCCTTTGTTATTTGAAGAAATTCTCTGCTGAACTTCACTGTCTGCTACCATTCATAGATCTAGAGAAAACTTCTCTCCCAAATAATTTATTCCTAAAGCCATTTAATTTTCTTTTGTGTTTATAACCAATTTTCACTGCACAACTCAGAATGAAAAACTGCCACCACCACTGCAGTGTAAACAAGCCAAAGCATTGCAGCACACACATCCAAACAGAATCAGATATAATAAATACGTTAATCTGTTCCAAGAAGAAAGGTATGTGTGAATTATCAATATACTTGCAGTAAACAGGTTTTGTGACAACCAAGATGAGGGATTCTATAAAGAAAAACGGTGGGGTGGGTTTCGTTTTGGTTTTTTTGGGGATTTTTTTTTTTTGTATGTGTGTGCGTGCATGAGGAAAAGTCAGCATCATTTTTAGCCTCTTATTTCAAGCTCTGTTCTTTTTGGAGTGGAGGAATGAGCTGAAGGAGGGAGAAGAAAGGGTAAAGCAAGCATTAGCTAGGAAATATTACTCAGAAAAAGTTAAAAAATCCTTTGCCACAAACATTTGCATAAGAAGAATAACTAAAAAGCTTCCTTCTGAGGACCTCAAAGGGGTTTAACAAACACTAATGAAGTCTGGAAGCACAGTGTCCATCACAGTCAGCTCCTATTTCGCAGCTAGAAAGGCAGACACAAGGAGGGGAGACGGCCTTCCTCACCTCACTGACTCAGTAGCAGATCAAGATGCCAGACAGCTGGCCCAAAGGACACTGGCCATAAAAATCAACCCTACCATTGGAAAATACCCAAACTTCTCCAGTATAAAGGATCACCTCAAACCCACAGACAGGTTTTCCGCAGAGGCTGTTAAACAGCATCACATTTATCCCATCACTCAGAAACACCAACAGGCTTCAGCATGGCCCTGTGTAAAATTCTAGCAGCAATGAGACCCTGTAGGAACGATCTTTTCATCTTCTTCAGACCTAGCAGAGGCACACACAAAGTGATTGTGTGGTTCTCATTTTAAATTCTTTCCTACTTTAAAGCATATCCTTTCTGTATCAATGGATTTACTAATCATGGTTTCCTCTTGATTGCAATTATGTCACAATACGGTAACAGTATCCCCCCCCAAAAAAAAGTTGACCCTGGACTTAAAAATTAGTAGAAAGATGACAGAAGAATGGCATTACATGCAATGAGACAGCACACCCCAAGTCAAACAAAACTCGCTGTTCTCTGTGATTACATTCACATGTTCAGAAAATTATTTTGCTATCAAAAAGAAACCTGCATAAACTTTCACTGTGAATTTCTGAAGACATAATCTGTTGTTAAAACTCTTGGCTAAATTGGCTTTCATTTACTACTACAACATGGAAACACACAGTTTTTCTTACAAAAACTAATCTGACATCACAGTATTTAAATCGTTTTACACATAAACCCTGTCCAACTGTATGCATTTTGACAGTGAGGTGAAATGAAAACTGGTTGAACTACCAGGCCCAGAGAGTGGTGATCTGTGGCACCAGTGGTGGCCAGTTGCTAGTGGTCTGCCCCAAGGGTTGTTATTGTGGCCAAGACTATTTAATATCTCCATTAATAACCTGCACACTGGTACAGAGTACACCCTCAGTAAGTTTGCAGATAATACAAACTATGAGGAGTGGCTGATAACACCAGATGGTTGTGCTGTCATTCAGAGGGACATTGACTGGCTGGGAAACTGGGCAGAGAAGAATTTCATGAAGTTCCACAAAGGAAATGCTCAGTCCTCCATCTGGAGAGGAATAATCCCATGTACCAGAACACACCGGGGCTGACCAGCTGAAAAGGAGCTCTGTGGAGAAGGACATGAGGGGTCCTGGTGAACAACAAGCTGATCATGAGCCATCAATGCAGCCTCATGGCAAAGACAGCTGACAACATATTGGACTGTATTAGCAGTGTTGCCAACAGATGGAGGAAGGACATCCTTCCTCTCTGCTCAGCACTACTGAGGTCTACCTGGAGTGCTGGGTTCAGTGCTGGGCTCACTGGTACAAGAGAAACGTGAACATACTGGAGTGAATCCAGAAAAGGGCCAAAAGCTGATTTAGGGATTGGAGCATCTTTCATATGAAGACAGACAGAGAGCTGAGACTGTTCAGTCTGGAGAAAGGGCAGCTCAGGAGGCATCTTATCAACATGTATAAATACCTGATGGAAGAGCGGTAAAGAACATGGAGCCAAACTCTTCCCGGTGACAGGACAAGAAGCAATGGGCACAAATTAAGAAACACAAAATGCCACCTGAGCAGAGGTAAAGTTTTTAACTGTGAGAGTGATCAAAGATTGGCACAGGTTGCCCAGAGAGGAAGTGGTGCAGTCTCCATGTGTGAGGATATTCAAAATCCGGCTGGACACAGTCATGGACAACCTGCTCTAGCTGAGCCTGCTTAAGCAGTGGAGGTTGTGCTAGATGATCAAGAGGTCCATTCCAATCATAGGAATTCTGTGATCTTAAAATATAGCTACTGTTTTTTCATTAGTAAAATAATACACTAAAATGTACTTGGTAATATGAACACAGAGTACAATTTTTAGGAAAGTAACATCTTCGTACTACTTTGTATGCTGAATACCCATGGTTTGATGTGAAACGAGACGTAAAACGTAATCTTTAGAACTTTAGTAAGTTAGTTCAGGTACCTAACCGTATCTTTTCACACATGTGAAACTCATTACAAAGGACCTCAGAATGAAAAGCCAAATCATCATGAATCCAACTTACTCAAGAAGTACGCAGCAAAGATAATACATATACTCTTGTGCACAACCAGCTGTGCACATTCAGACTTCATATTTCAGTCGTCTCATTTAATCAAAAAATCCAGAAAACATTACTTTAGGAATAGAGTGACTTTTTTCCAAGCTAAAAAGTTTAATAGCCCCGAAGGAAAGGAAAAAAATCTCTCACTTTATGACAACTTTTCACTCAAAACTGAACGAGAAGAGAGACCACAAGAATAACTTAACATGGAAAAACGTTCTTCTAAACAGATACTTCTAGACCTTTTTATTTGATAGTAATTTTTAAAAACTGACTCATCAACAGCATCCAGAAAGCCATCTGGGCCATACCAGTCTACCATAGTAGGGACAGTAAATGACAATGTAGGTTCACAATTACATATACACGTGCCTCACCTGAGTTTAAACAACAAATTCTTACAGGGTTCTTGGTGGATTTAAAAAAATATATTCCTAACATGGCCTAGTCAGTTTTGTTGTTCGATTTTTTGATCAAACTACTCTACTTTGATTTACTGCAGAGTAAGAAAGTGCAAATGGTCTGGTATTGCAGAATAGCAAATCTACAGCAGGACAGGTACACTGTCACTACACACTAAAGAGCACATACTTCAGATTAGAATACATTCAACAGGAAAACCTAAACTGATCTCTGGTTTTAAGATCATTATCTTTGAGTTAAGAATACAGACATTCCTCTCTCTTTTCATATGTGAAAAAAATCACTGATTTCCAATGTGCTACTGAAAATACTTAGCTTCTTTAAAAAGTTAAGAGATACAGCCTAACAAAAGAAACTTCAAAATTTAAGAAAAAAAAGTGCTAGGCCACACATACTTGTCCCATCATCTCAGCATGCTTGAAATGCTATTTACTATCAACATGTGCCCAGATTTTTCAAGCCCTCTGTGTATTATAGAGCCAAACATGTATATATATAGTATAGTAAAGTTCTGTACTTGTCTGATGCTCTTACTAATTTATATCAGAATTTTATCCAGTAAGTAGCTAGTTAATTAAAATACCATGTGTCAGTTCCTCACGGTTTATATCTTCACTCTGGTATTGCCATCATTGTATTTCATGTAAATGATTCTTTTGTGCATTAGACACCTTACCAAAAAAAAAAAGGGGGGGGGGGGTGAGGTGGGGAAATTGTAGAGCCAGCCACGTCTGACAACTGGTGCATTAGGATTTCTCTTTATTGAGTTTGATCTCTTGCCAAAATTATGAACCTTCTTTGAAGATCGTGATGTCTAAATTGAATTGAACAGGTTAAAGAAAATATGACATCAATATCTGTTGAAAAATCATAATACAATTTCTTTAAGATCTTTTTCTTATACTTGTTCCTCTGGGGGATTGCAGAATACAAACTGTATTCCTTTTTTAGAGAAATAATTATTATGATGGTTTTGCTGGCTTCAGCATTTCTTTCTTTTTCCTCTACAGAAAAATTAAACACAAATCCCAAGACAAGTACTTAAAAAAAAAATTTTCAACAAGAAAAAACAACCAGATACGTATCTGACCTTCTTATCAGGTAGGCAGAAAGTCTACCAAGCTACAGAAAGAGAAGTAAAACTAACAGAACTATTATTAATTATGAAAAATTACACCATGTGGACAAGAAAACTCTGCTCTTTCCTCCTTCCAACACTGGTCTAATACATGAAAATTTGTTCAGATTGCAATAAGATAACACCCCCTATCCTAACATAAACTATTCTTTTTTTTTTTATTCTTTCTTCCCTCTCAAGAACTTTTCGCTCTGTGTTCTCTGGGCTGGTTTGAATATTCATTATTTTACCTGCTTGCACTAAGGCCTACATTGAACCTTCTGCCCCAAAACTCCAGTGCTTATATCTACTGTTGCTTATACCTTTTACAACCTTAAAGCTATGCAATGATCACAGATGATTAAGAGAAATAGGATAAATAACCCATTTTTTATTTTATCCTTCTACTTATGTAACCAAAAGAAACTGGAAAAGGCATAAAGAAGTGTGCAGTGCTTTGCCAATTAACACTCCATTCTTTTCAGCCTACTTTGAAAGATTGTTCTGCTAAAATTAAATGAACAGTTACTAGTGTTTGAAATTCTGTAAGAATTGGTCCCTCAGAGACCACACCATGTGATACAGTAAAGTATCCCACTCTGGAAAAGAAGTTCAAATAAGTTTTTTAAGCTGAGTTCATGGCTCTGCTCAAAATCCACCATTTGAATCGACAGAATATAATTCTGTGCTTCAGCTTCACCATCTCTGCTACCGGGACTAATCATGAGGTTATGCAAAGTTCCTGCCAAACAAACATTTTGGTTTTGTGGCAAATTAGGGTATGGGGTTTCTCTGTGGAAATTCTCTCAACACGCATCGTAGAACCGAGTTGTTTTCTACATGCTTCAGAAAGAATTACACAGTAGGTTAAAAATCATAAACTGAAAACTGCAATTTAAAACGATGGGCAGCTTTTTGTCAACAATGCCATTAACTGAAGAATACAACATAGCTTAGCCAAAAAATAACAACATTACAAAAAATATGTGTGTTTGCCTTAAGTCTACAACACAATGAAACAAGGAGGGAATATAAAAACAATCAGAGTGCTTTTAATTTCCCTTGGAGATACAGAAATTTGACTCAACTCTGTTTGGAAAGCAAGACAGAGCAAGCAATTGAAAATCTAATTAAAAGTAAAAATCTTTCACACTTTCATCTGAAAAATTCTACCAGTACAAAATAGACAAAGGTTTGTAAGAAGCCAAGCGAATTATGACATCCGGCTGTAGAAAGAAATATACAGAGAACCTGTAACAAGGCAGAGCACATTATAAAGTTAACTGTATGGCTACTATACTGGCAGATCACACAAGACCTGTGCCAAGATTTTGATCAGAAATAATTTATAACTCTCGTACCTGCTCTACTATTAGGTATTCAAGGTTCAAAAATCCCTCAAGAGTGTTCCAGACTTCCTGTGCATATGAAAGGGCTAATGCATTAAGAATGTTTCTGAAAACACAACCAACCACAAGTACTACTAATGTCAAGTCTACTAACAAAATCAGATAATTTAGATAGGTATCTCTTAGGTAGGTCTGACAACAGACCATATTGACTCCATTTTCACTGAGCTCACAGCAAAGTTTTAATGGGTTACATCTTGCCAACTGTGCATACAAACTTCCTTTAATTAAACACAGCATCACAAGCGCTTTCTAATTTTAGTTAATACAGAGAACACTTTAGATGACTTGTGATTATTTTACCACGCACTGCATAAAGAGATTAACTGTTCACAACTAATTCTGAGCCTTGAGACAATAAGTATTTTAGGATATTGAAATACTGCAGGTGTACATAGAAACTAATCATCAGTTCTCAAACTTTTTAGATCACCTCCTCCTCTTGCTATGTCTGGGATCCCTGGCCATGACAATTTCTCTCACACACATACACCTAATGTATCTCAAACTGAGGAAGAAAGGAAAAAAAACAAGAATTGAAGGGTTCAACTACTTTCTACCCCACATCACTAAAAATATCGGACATACTGCACAGTTCCAGCTTCTACGGAAAAGCCAAAGAGAAAAGGAGGATAGTGAATGCAGGATCCAACTACTAACCACTTGCTGGAAAGTGTAGAAGGTAACAGAGTTTGCAAACTTATAGTCACTTCTGGTACCAACTGATGGTACCATTCTAAGCAATGGTCCCAGCAACTGTGCTGCCTCCAAAACCAGAACCTATGGGAAGGACCCTGTACAGTTCCAGTACTGAAAAAGGAGCTAGGAAGTCCAGTCAGTGGTATTCACTCTTT